GTTCGCCCTAATGGGAGCCGTACCGGGATTTGACCCTCATCGCTTGCCGCTATGCGGCTACCTTGTCGTTGTGCCATATCCGCCCGCCTGAACTATTGTATAGACTCCATATCCCGGAGATGGAGTGGGCGTAGCTGCTCACTCCATTTCAACGAGGAGGCAGCTGCGCTTTTGGTGGGATACTGCCGTTTTGGCAAAATTGTAATTATCCCTGTGTCCAACATGAGACAATACAGTAGTCTCAAACGGGAATATCCCACGAAAAGCGTATCCTACGCCTTGTTCCAATGAAGTACACAGTCACGCCTACTCCAGCATCGGGGTATGGTGTGAATATATATAGCTTCTGCAGTTTGGAAGTTCCTTCTTACTAAATTGGGTCATTTCCAGCTGCTTACCAAAGTGAATCGTGTCTACGAGGAAGAAAGCAAAAATCTCGGGCGCCAGGTACGTTTCGTTCCATTCTCATCCCTAAAGCTCTCCTGGGGACAAAAGCGCATTCGCATATTCCAAACTACAATATTCATAAAAATGAACGGCTATTTCTCTGCTGATTTTTATCATCGGCCTACTTCCTATTGTGGCTTTAAACTGTAGATAATTGATTTTGTTCGGAAGGACAATATTCAGGTGGAAAGCTCTTGCAATTACAGACGCGAGAACGTTCAAGAGAAGGACGCGTTTGTAGAGAAGAGCCGTAAGCACGACTTGGAGGGCAGCAGCAGATTCCAGGTAAACAGTTCCTCATAAGTGTGAATCTGAAATGGAGACCTAAACTTCCAACGCTACTTCAGCGTGCCTTAATGCCGCTTCAAGCCCCGTCATAAAAGAAGAAGCTGGAAAGAAAATATCGATCGATGGAAAGTAAGAAGCTCGCTGACCGACAAAAGCAGCCACTGTCAAAAGGGCAGCGAAGGCTCTGATCAGTAGGGTGAGTTTCCTTGGCACTCAGCCAAAATCGCTCTCTGCTCCCAACATCTGCATATTTTAGCGTCGTCCGTCGGTGCCAAGTGGTGGTTCAACAACCGAAGATAGCAGTGTGTACAGCGCTGATGAAGGATCACCGCCACTCGTAAACGGTAAATCCCTGCACAAAAACCATGCTGCACCTGTAGACACCTCTGCACGAATCACCCAAACATCACCACCCAACACAGCTGTTGCTGCTAGTGCACCATCAGCACCACAAGTCCTGGCACGCAACGCCATATACGGTAAAGCATCGCTGCGATTGCCATCACCGTTCAAGAAACGTAGCACATTTCGTGATGATACCTTCCAAGGGGCATATACAAACCCCAACGTTCGAAAATTGATCGATGTACAGTATGACGCCAACGATTAGTAATTGGTCAGATTACGGTAGCTCAGAATCCGCACTGCCGTATGAACACTGTGTCTGTATGGGTCCGTTGTTTTGTGTGTATGTGTGTTCATTGTTGCCTTGTTAAAGCGTTATGTCTTCCATAGACGATATAGTTTTATGTGCACTTTTCCCTGTGATCATGTCCTCCTGTCCAAATGTCCTTGTCTGATCAATAAATCGATAAAGTCTATGTTATGTTCACGTTCTGCTTGTTGCACACACACACAGTTCTAGTTCATACTTATGCTGTTTGGGCTACTTGCAGGCGAATTGTACACTCACCTCCGCGGATCCTGGTCCTTGAAATGTGTGCCGTGAATGAGGTCCGCAGCTGCAGCAGCGTGCCATTTTCTGCGGTCAAAAGGGGGTCGCCTCCACGCTCCGCCAGTGCCGCACGTCCAGCCACACGCCTGACTATAGCCAAACGCCCTGATTGTCTGCACCCTCTAACTTCTGCTTGCTCTTTACTGCTCTGCCGTCTTTACTGCTGACGTGGCGTGTTTCGCCCGCCGGAATTCCGGTTAATGCGATCGATAACTGAGGATAGCTAGCGGAGCACGGTGACGCACTCGGGAATCACTACCCATTAGTCCTGTTCCCGTGGACTTTTGAGCGTACGAAAAGGCGTGCTACTACAGCTGCAGATCCATTTACTTCGCGCATGGAAAGGACCAGGATCCATGGAGGCGAATGTACAGTTTGTCATCAAATAACATTCAGTAGCCTATTTCAAGGGTGCAGTTTATTAGGCACAGACTCGTTCTTTTCCCACTTCAGTGTATGTGACCCCAAGATGAAAGCCATTTGCACCAAATGTTTGCTGTGGTGATCGAATAGCAAGAGACGCAGAACACGCTTACTCTGCTTCTTTTGTTGTCATGTTGTGCGAAGTTTGTCCGAGATCCACTGTTTCTGTGTATAGTTCAGCACTGTTTCACAGATTGCACCCAGGACCCCACTACCCCAAATGTTCTTCTTATTTGCTAGGCACTCACAAATATATGGGACGGTACATTCACTTGCACAGTATTTTCTAGTTGACCAGATATACTACAGTATTTCTCTGGTAAATCAATTAGGGCCTGGTGCAAATGCGGTCTGCACGATGCCGCTCGCAACAACGTCTTCGCCGCGTCGTCTCATCCTAGATGAAATACCCCATGCAGCACTCATTATAGCCGGCTCTGCACAGTCATGATCCTTGCAAACA